ATCTTTATATAAACATTTCCTTTTTATAAAGAATAATAATAAACTAAACCAAGTCATCATCATGAAAATATCAAACATACCTCATCTTGGTTTCTGTATTCTGGCATAGATGAAAAATCAGCTTCCCACTCAGAAGTATACATATGAGCTTCTAATTCTCCAAAAGCAGTAGCAGGAAATGGGTTCCATAGCTGCTATACATAGAGAAGGAAGCAGCCCCAAGAGTTCTTCATTAAGAAACAACAAATAAAGTGAACGTAGAATAATCTAATTTCAGTCCAAAAATATTTTTTGAATAAATTTATCATTCTATTTTATACCTAGTGGCTTGATGATCTTCGAAAAACAGTACCTGTTGAAAGGGCTGAGGGACTGATGTGCTGACAATACTAGGACTATCATCGGAATAAAGGATACTGTTTGAAGTTTCTGATTGAATTTCTTGCCCTCCATAAGAAGAGCATGAAGCGAATGCATTCCAACACTGCTACATGTAGAAAAAAACACGAAAATTTCAAATACATTCCATTTTGAAGTGAAATCGTTGATATCGAATCCATTTTGTTTCAATCAAATCATATGAAACAGTACAAATTGGTCATATAATAACACAGATCATCCTAGCCTGAGGTTCAGCCAGATCAGCACATTCAGAAGTCAAATATTATAGACTTTGGTGAACTGGAACTGAATCAAGCGCTAGATAAAAATCTACCAAATTATTTCCTATTTTTTGTACAATTTCCTCATTGTTTTGAACATGTCTGTTTCTCCAAAAAAACAAAGAGGTGCTGAGCAATTTCCCAAGTTTTAGACGAAGGAATAACACACCCATTTAAGCCTACAAACTGAATAGTTGACCGGGGAAACCGCTGATGCTGAACGAAACAACAAAAGAAGCAGAATATTTCAAAATATAGTACATAGCAATCCACAGAACATCGAACCAAATGTTATTGGGGTCATAACCGACTAATGAAATTATGGACAGTGATGGACAGAACGTGGGAACCAACTGTGGGTTCCACTCTGTCACCATCGACCTCCATCATTTCAATTGATGGTGAGTTCCATAGTACACAAGATTATAGCATATCTTAGAAAGGTGTTTCCATCCACTCAACTGTATTACCTGCACTGGGGTCTGAGAGAAAGATGAATTTGAACACTGATTATCACTTTCAACGTTCACAGAACCTTCCCTTGCACAAAATGTGGGTTTTGAGATACTTTCAGTTTTGCCATCGATGGGCTCCTTAGTTCCATATATATGGGCAGGACCATTGCTAAGGGAGCTGTTATTCCTAGATGAAGGAGGAAGATCAAATGTTGCCCATCCATTATTAAGAGCGCTTTCAACACCAATTCCTTGCACATAGTGTCTTGTTTCGCTGACTGAAACACATTGGTGAGAAGGAAATCCTGTGAGGCTTTCTGAATAGGCAAAGGACGCAGACTTCGATATGTGTAATTTGTCACCCTTTCCATCCTAAAGCCCTCAATCAAAGAGCACAATCAAATCGTGTTTAGTCCCTCTATGCTGCCATGCATTTGAAGTCACAAAAAACAATAATAATAATAATAAGATTCATGTGCATGCATGCACACAAGCACATACACACACACGAACAAAGAAAAGCGCATTATCTATTTTGACCTCTGTAATTTGGGTTCACCCTCTTGGCTTAGTGGTCGGAAGTCAGAACATAGGTCTGCAATATTAAAATGTCAAGTTTTTTTTTTTTTTGGAATATGTCAAGTTCAAATGATCCATATATAAAAAGTAATTTGACCACCATAATGGCGCATTTTTTCTTTTCCAGTTGGATATGCTGGGTTAAACCAAAGGTCCTAACTAATACGTTAAGTTGGAATGATTATCTTCTGGAACAACTACCTTCTACGAAAAAACTCAAAATATAAAAAGCAGGGGCTGTCCTTTCAGCTTGATAGCATGGGTGCAAGAGCTATAGCATTTTAGTCTAAGATTCAGACCTCAGCCACCAATCAAAATGAAACAAAAATGACATATCAAGATAAAATCTAGGCAAATACTGCATCAAGATAGCCATGCTAAGGCATTAGGCATAAAATACAGAGAGATTGTGTTTCTCACAGAAGCCAAACTTAAAATCACTTATTATTATAAAAGAATTGTTATCAAGCAGCATGTGGGATAACTTGAAAGGCTAAAATTTAAATTACACCCTAATGTTTAATGTGAGGAACTTTCATTTTGACCACAAAGTGGGTCAACCAAAATAAAAAGGGGAACACATGGTTACAAATTTTAAGTGAATAGAATAAACAATGGAAACTGGAAGATATAAAGGTGCCTGATAAGTTAATAAACAAGATGTTTTGGTAGCATTAAACACTCTTTCAACAGAGCTGCTTCCAAAATAACAGGAGAAAATTGAAAGGTAACAATTTAGTGTCAATGAAAAGGAAACTAACCGAAAGGGATTGCTTTTCTCCATGTTGTCCATGCAAAGTAAAACCACCAACTGAAGCTCCATTTTGGCTGTTCAAATTACAATAGCTATTGAACAAGCCAGCTTCTCCAAACCCAATATAATTTATGCCTTGACTTAATCCATTACCATATTCATTCCCCTGGAAGTTTTGGACATGGGGAATTTCTCCTATAGAGCCACAAGAATTATTGGATGGCTTCCCCATATCATCCCTCCCATCCCAATTTAGAAAGCCAGTAGGATTTTCACCTGCTGGATCCATGCGTGTTTTCTCGGCATAGGAAGATAAACTCTTAATCCTTTCAAAGCAGTCATCTTCTGAATAATTTGAAAACCGCCTTGGCCCATCTCTATCCATGTCATACCAGCCATGGGTACTTGTTCCATCAATTTTATTGCTAACATAGCTTGGAAATCTCTTGAATTTGTTGAGATTCAAAGAACTGTCTCTGTAGGATGAGAAGGATCGACGGCTTGCATCAAAATTATAATCCACATATATTCGATCAACTGAAAAACGACCACATTCGTCCTGTAAAATAACATAAAAGACCCATATTATCTGCCTATTAAAAAGTAAGAGATCAAATATAATTACCCATATCTAAGTATAATTAGGTTTCTTTTTTCCTTTGAATATGAACTAAATATCTGAAACAGAGTTCATAATACTTAAAAAATAGATGACGGGTTCAAAATAAGAATATTTCAAGTGATGAAATAACACTTATAATGTAAGGGCATGCATTTAAGCAAATCTTATTTTAATTCACATATTTAGAGCCAAAAGAACAAAACACAAAAGAGTCTTTCTCACGGTGTTTATTAGTTCTTATAAAAATGATTAATATCAATATGAGAACTCACTGTCCTTCCCCTCGCAAAAGCTTCCTCCGCCGCATAAGCCTTCTCTACATAAACTTGTTTGATGAACTTACGCAAATTCTCCAAATCACTGATGAAACACCATGAGAAATCCAAAACAAAAATAAATAAACACCTAAGAGAAATGACAATTCAAATGCATACAGCAAAAAATAAAATAGAATAAAAAGGCCAAAACCCATATAGCTTGAACAATAAAAGGGAACGAATTGGTTTCTCTTTTCTTTTGGGAACCAACACTTACTGCTGAAGATATCCTATTTCAGAGTAAGGGATGATTTATAAAAAAGAAGAAGAAACTACACAGGTAAAATTGTCGGCGAATACCTGTTTTCGGGGAGTTTATTTTTCTGGAAATCCCATTTTTTAATGTAAATTTCGCGCGCAACCTGGATTAGAAAACAATAAAGTCTAAAAAACTGAAAATGAAATAAAATAAGTAGCACTTATGAGGATTGCCTGTGACAAAAAAGGGAGATTTTGTTTAGAAAGAATAAAACAAAAAGAACCCATTTGAGCTAACCTGGTTTCCACCTGAATGAAGAGCAGCTACCTCAGCAGGGCTGAACTTGGACATGGAGATGGACTTCACCCTGTGTGTAAACTCTCGGCTTTGCGACGCAACAAAAATGGAAAAAAATTCCATTAATTCAAATAAAAATCTGGGTCAGGAAAAAAGAACCAAGAACTATAGCATAGATATGAATTTTGTAAAGAAAAAAGAAAAGGAAAGGGGGAGATGATGAGAGAGAAAGCCGCAGTAAGGGGATTGTTTGGATCACACTTACTGAATGCCACTGCAAGTCATGCACACAAATGTACTGAAATCGCAACATACATATTGGGGGACCTGTAATATGGGGAAAAACGCAGAAAAGCATTTCAGCACTGAAGCTCTGTAGAGAGAGATTAATGATAAAACAGGAAAACTTTCAAAGGGTTTGAACTTTGAAGTGTTGAGGAGAGACAGAGAGCCGAGAGAGATAAAAACTCCAAAAAGCACTCGAAAATTTTGAGAGAGCGAGAGAGAGTTGGAGTGTTGTTACAGGGGAGTTGCAGTTGATGCATTTCTTGTTATGGGGGAGCTTAGAGAGAGCTCGAGCGATCTGCTCGTTTTTCTGGTCCCTTCTCGCTCTCCCACTCATAATGAAGATATGTGATTCTCAGTAAGGGTTTTACTTTTTAGAGCACAAGGAGCACGAGATAGAGAGAAGAAACATGCCAACAATAAGAAGTAGAACAGAGAGTGAAAGTGAATAGCAGGTGTATTGAAGAGAGAGAGAGAGTGAATAGCAGGCGTGTTGAAGAGAGAGAGTGAATAGCAGGTGCCTTGAAGAGAGAGTCAATAGCCAGCGTGTTGAAGAGAGAGAGTCTTGAAGAGAGAGAGAGTAGCAGTGTTTTGAAGAGAGAGTCTTGAAGAGAGAGAGAGTAGCAGGTGTGTTGAAGAGAGAGAGAGAGAGAGAGAGGAGGGGTGAATGGCATGTATTTTGGGAGACTTGT